GGGAGGGAGGCCGGGTCGGGCGCGCGGCCGTTAGCGGTCCCCGTTTTAACGACCGCCCGGCAACGCTGAGGTCTCCGGGGCCCGAGGAGTCCGCATGACCCAGCCCCCGTTAGCGCGCTCGCCCCCTTCGACGGCGCAGTCACCGCGCGGGGCGGCCGTCCGTGAAGTAGCTACCACGGCTGGGGTCAACGACTAAAGCTCCCCGGACAGCGGCGCCCTCGGCCACAGCTGGGTGGGCAGCCCGGGCTGGGAGCGGTGACTTCCGTGAGCAGCGAGAGGTGGACGCCACCTCCAGCCTGGCCCCGCACCAGCTGCCCGGCGGGCATGACCCGAGCCTGGTCTGGCATGCGCGGAATGCTGCTTGAGCCCCTCTTCTGGCTGTTACCTTCGGGGGACGCTTGTGGCCACACCGACACGTATTTTCCAAATAAATCGTTTATTCTGGCAGCGGCGGAGCCGAACACGTCACTATATTTTTAATTTTCTCAGCAAGCATTTACTCAACACTTTTATACAGTGAAACAACTTGTAAACGTTTTGAGCAAGCATCCGCCTAGTTAGGAAGTCAAGGACTGAGCAACTTGCTTTTGCCACGCCCGTCCTCGACTGTTTTGAAGACTGTCCCATCTTGTAACTACCAGTGTGCACAGACTCCTATTCAAGTAACGTCGTGGTCCAGCGATGCAAAGGACTGAAGTCTCAAGGTTTATCTCTGTTCTAACACGGTTGGGTTTAGCGCCAACAGCTAGGAAGTGGTTAAAGTAGATCCCATAGGGAAATAGCGAGGTTAGAGCCACAACATCTCCCGTCTATCCACGTTTGTTTAGTAAGAAAACAGATGTCACCTCTGTTAACTGCATCTCCTGTTTTGGGGAAACGTAGCCTGAAGTTGCCATGGCTTGTAGCAGCTAGTATTTATGTAGAATAGTTAGACGTTGGTGAAGATATTCATAATCCCCAGCCTTGATCTGAGGCTCTGGGTACTGAAGTGCATGTCGCTGGAGTGACCTCAGTATGTCACTGGACTTTCTTTAAGAAATGTTGCCCTTCCTCCCCTTACTAGACATAGCCCTTTGTAGGGTGACTCGCCCACTTCCCTCATCCCAGTTCACTTCTGGAGACTTTGTAATCTGCTTACATTGGTAACATCTAGACGAGGACGGGACAGGCCAAGCCTCAATGGCCATCTGAGGCCACTAGGAAAGAGCTACCTTATCTAACTGGATAAAAAGGCACCCACACTTGGATACAGAAGGTCCATTTTTTCTTGAGTGTTGTCCCATGCACTTAGCAAAGAACCGTTTAACTAGGCCAGTCAATGGTTCCGACATCTTACACTGCTGGGTGATGACATTCTAGCATGAGAGTTGATGTTAGCCTCTGGGGCTTCAGGTCTCACCTTGGATCACTGGTTCTGACCTGTGCCTCAGTCTCCTCAACTTGAAAATAAGGGTGATAATTGTGTCTCAGTGTGTGGTAAGTGCCTAGAACAGTTCTTGGCACAGTTTGGTTATATTGGCCAGTACTGGCATGACCACTAGATATACCCCTTTTAGCGAATGAGTTGAAAAGTGCACTGCTGCTTTGATCGTGTAGAACTTGATAACCAAATGTAAAATTAATTGCTAATCTACCTTGTTTATATTTATAGCTGGAAAAGCCTGTGCTGTCTTCATAATAGTGCGAAAGAATTCTAGATAGGAAGGAAAGAAGGAAGCAAATGAAGAGAATAAGAGAAAAGAAGGAACGTCCAAGATTGAGGTAGAGTAGGTGACCTGAAAGAGTTGGGGAAGATACAGTGGCCACTGACACATGTTGCATTTTCTGCTCCCTTTGGCTAGGGCTAGACAGTATGGAAGCCAACACCTGTGCGACATGTCCCCAGTGGCACAGTGACAAGTGTGGGACTTGATTAGATAAATCTCTATCACACCTGTACTGCTTGATGACTGCAAGGCCAGAGACAAATCATTTATGCCTCAATTTACTCAAAAATATGCATTATTATAGTATTGCCTTTGTAGAATGTTCTGCAGAGTTTTGACCTGATTCATGATAAAGGAGCAAGTGTAGTGCCTAGCGCTGGGAACCAGTCAACGTCAGTGTCATTTCAGTGGACTCTGGGTAATTGGCAGAAGAAAATAAAAGAAGGGTTACTCTTGAATTCCTTCAGCACAGGCAGCACAGGCACTGAGATGGTACTCTCCTCAATAATTTAGTATATTTTATACTTCAAAAATGAAATAAGAAAAGCCTTTAGAGAATTTGGTCTTTAATCAGATTATTGGTGGCATTTTAAGGGAAATTCAGAAGGCTTGTCAGTGGTGTCCTTACATTTTTTTCTCTTATATAGAAAAACTGCCAGGACTAAGAAGGTAACCCAGAGGAAGCTATCTTCAGGTCCTGGTAAGAGAGATGAGGTGGTATTGAGTTGCTCCTTCCAGCCGTTAGTGGAGAAGGCCACGCCAGTGGGCAGCCAACTTGCTGCTTTCACTGCCAACCCCACTTCTTTCCCAATTCTCTTAGGTTAAGATCCTAAAGACTTCAGTGTCTGTAGTTTTAAAGTTTCATAGCTGATGTTCAAGAAGGAATTTCATTAAAGCCAGATGAGAACAAAACAGTAAAAAAATGTTAGTCGCAGCCTACTCTGTCAATGTGACCAAAATTATATCAAGGCCTGATACCCAACAAGAGTTCACTTTTAGTCTTGCCAGAATTACCCTGTTCCTGATAGATGCTTCCTGACTACAATGTTTTAACTTGTTTCGTTTTTACATTAAGGTGATGCAAAAGTGCCGTGCATCAATAGAAACCCCACTTCATATTTAGGGCTTCGATCTTTTCCCAAGCTAATGATAGCTAGTACCATATGCTCTTGCAGTTCTGGGCATTGGCAGCAAGGCACAGCTCCCAGTAAGTCACACAAGCATAATAGGAAACAGCCAGCTATTTGCGGTATACTGTGCTGCTAAGCTATGGTGTTCCCTAGGCTACGTGTAGGAAATGCACTTCCAACTTAGGAAGTCTCATGTGTGGAGAGTTTATCTCGCTAAAAGACCTTTGTAAGTAAAGGAGCCTCGACTCTTTGCTGTTCTTAGATGCTTAGCTCCACTTTTCTATTCTTAGTGATCACCTTGAGCCAAGCCTTGATTCTTAATGTTCACTCTTCCAGTTTGCCTGCTGTGCCTTCAAGAACCTGGTGATCCTGAAAAACTAGGAGACTTTCTTCAGAAAAACAGTCTTTGTGTGCACTATTTCTGTCTTGTGAGTATAAGGCCCTCGCTGCCCTACGTGTCTTACAGCTTTTGCTAAACAGGCACTTCTGCATCTAGCCTCAAATTTACAGCTGTTTGTTTTTCCTTACAGTTTTTAATCTTCTAAAATCTATATTTTAAATAACAAATGACATAATCCTGACAGTATAAAAGCCTCTTCCTTAAATCATATTCCTTCTTCCTCCCTGCCTCCGAGAAACAAATGTTCATTTAGATTGTCTTCCAGTTAATTTTCCCCAGTATACTTTTTTAATGAATATAACCAGAATACTATAAAATGAACCAATCTTAAGTGTACAGTTGGATGAATTTTTTAAAGATTTATTTATTTATTATGTATTTTACCTGTATATGTGTCTGTGCATCATGTATGTGCAGTGCCTTCAGAGGCCAGAAGAGAGCGTTAGACCCCCTAGGAGTGGAGTTACAGGCAGCTGTGAGCTACATGTGGATAACTAGGACCCAAACCCTGGTCCTGCCCAAGAGCATCCTGTGCTCTCATCTGCTGAGCCATATCTCCAGCCCTTCACTTTTGATAAATTGTATATCCCCATGTAATCACCATCCACATCAAAATAACTTTTTAGTCGCCTCAGAAAATTCACCTCATGCCCTCTTCTAGTCAGTACCACCAGAGTTAGTCACTAGAAGGATTATTTTTGCCTATTATTTTACTTGATATAAATTAAACTGTACAGTTTATATTCTTTCTGTTAGGTCCCAACCCCAAAAGTGACAGTCTGGGCCCAGTTCAGGCTGGACTGTGACCAGGTAAACAGAAGGATTGTTACTTAAAATCAGCATTCCTCAGAAACCTTGTAAAGTGGGTTTCTGTTTGTCAAGAAGCCATTTCTTCCCTTATCTGCTCACCCCCACAACCACCTACCAGCGGAAAGGGCATCTAGTTCCCTATAACCTGGAGCAAGCCTCCAGCAGATCAAAGCCCCATGCTAGTTCACAGGCTCTTCAACTAACTCACCTTCTTCTCTCCAAAACACAACTCCTGTTACTGACTAGTCTCCGTCTATCACACAAGAGATGGCCATGCGGCAGGTTCATGTTTCCAATAAACATTCCTTTGCACCCATCAAGTGGTCTTCCTCGGTCGTTTCACTGCACCCTTCCTTACATCTAGTGCAGACACAAGGGAAGAGATATCGGGCCCCATCCTAAAGGGGCTCTGCCTCTTGTAACCAAACTGTTGATTTGGCCCTCCCGGGTGCAAACCATTTGCTTCTTCTGACTCCTGCCACCTACAAAATTTGACTACAGACCTCTCCAGCATTTTTCTCTCCTCCACCTACTTTATTCACTTATCTTTCAGGTAAGTGTCCTCTCCAAGCTGCCTGCTCTGTCTCTGGCTCACTGGAGCTCAATACAAAAGTCAGGCAAGCCTCCCTACACCCTCCAGTGCTCCCCATCAATGTGGACAAGGAGCGCCTGTCCACTGATGCTGGGCATCTCTCTGACAAGTCTCGATCCCTGAGTGCCTTCGGTCTGAGACTCTGTGGTCCTGTGGCACTGACCCCTCCCTCCCTCTGTCTCCATCCCATGCTATTGGAATCCTCGCTCTGGCGAGATTGCTAAGTCTTAGGTCTTTTTCTCCTGAGTCCCTCCCCTCTCCTCCTCTATTGCCCCTATAAATTCTTTATGCCACGCCTCTAAGGATGTCTCCCTTTCTGCTTGGTTGGTCTCTCCCTGTCTTTAGTTTGCCTGCCAGATCCTGAACTAACCATGGAGGGAGTCTTACTAGATTTATCAGCTCCTCTCTCCTGATTCCTCTAAGCTTTTCCCTCCTCAGACTCAGAGGTTTCATTAAGCCTGGCTTATATCTGGTGCTGAAATGATTGTTTCCCCAACAATGCTTGAACATGTTAAAGTTATCTTTTCAACAGTTGGTGGAAATTTGATTTGTTTTGGTTTTGGTGGACTTTTGTGAATAAAGCTGCTAAGAACATTCATGTGCAAGTTTTTTGTGACATGTGTTCTTTCTCTTGGGTAGATGCCTAGTAGTAGGATTACTGATTACATGTAAGTATGCATGTGTGAAGTTGCCAAGTCATCTTTCCAAAGTTGTTATACCATTTTACTCACCCATTGGCAGCTTAGGAGAGTTGCAGCCGACAGTTTTGTTACCAGAACTTGTTATTGTCAGTCTTTTTCATCTCAGCCTTCCTACTGGATGCTACTGGCATTTTACTGTGCTCTCAATTTGTGCTTCTTTGAGGAATAAAGATGTTGAGCTTTTCATGTGCTTATTCACATATTTTCTTTTGAATCTGTTTGAATATTTTTGTCCAATTAAAAGAAACTGGATTATAAGCCAGGCGTGGTGGTGGCACACACATTTAATCCCAGCACTTGGGTGGCAGAGGCAGATGGATCTCTGTGAGTCTGAGGGCAACCTGGTCTACAGAGTGAGTTCCAAGACAGCCAAATCTACACAGAAAAACCCTATCTCAAAAGAAGAAAGGGGCTGAAGAGATGGCTCAGTGGTTAAGAACACTGGCTGCTATCCCAGAGGACCCAGGTTCAATTCCCAGTGCCCATATGGCTGCTCACAACTGTCTGTAACTCCAGCTCCAGGAGACCTGACACCTTCAAACCAATGCACATAAAATAAAATTAAATAAATTATTTAAAAAAAATAAGGAAGTGGAAGAAGAAAAGAAACTGGATTCTATTGTCTGGATTGTAAGAATTATTTATATGTTCTGGATACAAATTTTCATATATGTATAATTTCTAATAATACCTTTTGAAATTTTTTAAAATTTTGATGTATCAGTTTTTCTTTTATGGCTAGCACTTTTTGTATGTCCTAAGTGGTACTTAAATAACATGCCTTTATCAAAATCAATCGGCCATATATGTATTTGTGGGTCTGGATAATCTATTTATACCATTAGTCTCTATGTGTCTATTCATATACTAGCACTCCACTGTCTTAACTCTTGTGGTTTTATAGTGTCTTAAAACTAAATATGGCCAATTAAACAGTCTTTTGGGTATCAATTCCTTTCTCTTTTGTTGTTTTTGTTTTTGTTTTTTCAAGACAGTGTTTCTCTGTGTAACCCTGACTATTCTGGAACTCTCTATAGACCAGGCTAGTCTCAAACTCAGAGATCCCCCTGCCTCTGTCTCCTGTGTACTGTAATTAAAGGCATGCCTCACCACCAGAGGCTCAATTCCTTTCTGTAGTTTGGGTTTGGTTTTTTCTTTTTCTTTTTCTTTTTTCTTTTTTCTCTTTTTACTCTTTGGGGGCCCACCACCCAGCTCCCAAATTAAATGCACAGAGACTTATTCTTACTTATGAATGCCTGGCCTTAACTTGGCTTGTTTCTAGCCAGCTTTTATAACTTAAATTATCCAGTTTCTCTTTACCTGCATTTTGCCTCTGGGCTTTTTATAAAAACCTGTCTTATTCCATATATCTTTCTTTACTCTTGCTCCATGGGTGGCTGTCTAGCTGGGTGGCTGGCCCCTAGCATCCTCTCCTTTTCTTGATTCTTGCTCTTCGCTCCTGAGCCTAGATTTCTCCTCCTGTCTATTCTCTGCCTGGCAGCCCCACCTGTCCTTTCTCCTGCCTTGCTATTGGCCATTCAGCTTTTTATTAGATCAATCAGGTGTCTTAGACAGGCAAAGTAACACAGCTTTGCAGAGTTAAACAAATACAACCTAAAAGAGTGCAGCACATCTTTGCATCATTAAACAAATGTTCCACAGCATAAATGAATGTAACACATCTTAATCTAATTTCCACAACACCTTTCTTTTCATTTTTTTCCATAGTGTTCTGCAGTCCTAGTGAAAGGTGGTATTGTGAATCTTTTGTTAAATGTTTTTCTAAATATTTTGTTGCTGAATTACAGAAATGCAATTATTTTGTATATGGATTTTGTATTTTATAATTTTGTTAAATTCACATACCAACTCAACAAAATTTATTTGTTTGGGATTCTCTAGTTGTGTATATAGTCAGTATCGTGTGTAACTGAAGACAGTTCTGCTTCTTTTCCAAATGTCCTTTAAAGATAGGGTCTAATGTAGCCCAGGCTGGCCTTAAACTCATCCTGTAGCTTGAGTATGACCTTGAACTTCCTTTCTTCGTGTGTGTATTGGGGGAGGGAGTGTGCGTATGTACAGATTCATGTATGCGTGCTTGTGTGTTCAGTTGTGTGCATACATGTGTGCATGTGGAGATGAGGTTGACATCAGCTGTCCTCTATTTCCATCTTTGCTCAGACAGGATCCTGGAGCTCACCAATCTGGCAAGGATACCTGACCACCCAGCTCCAGGGACCCTCCTGTCTCTGCCTCCTCAGTGCTAGCGGTACAAGCACACATCACCATCCCCAGCATCAGGTCCCCGTGCTGGTGCAGCACGGCTCTGCTGGCGAGGCCATCTCTCCAGGCCTGACGTTGAACTCCTCCCAAGTGTTGAGATTACAGGCATCTGCCACAAGCCCAGTTCGTTTGTTTGAAAAATCACTTTATATGTGTGAGTGTTGTGCCTACATGAGCATGCCTGGTGCCTGAGGAAGTCAGAAGAGTGGGTTGGAGCCCCTAGAACTGGAGTTATAAAAGGTTGTGAGCCGCCGGGAGGTGGTGGCACACACCTTTAATCTCAGCACTCGGGAGGGAGAGGCAGGCGGATCTCTGTGAGTTCGAGGCCAGCCTGGGCTACAGAGTGAGTTCCATGAAAGG